GGATCCGCCCCTGAAATTATGGAAATTTATCTCTGTCAGAATTGTTTCATCAAAGCTCATGTGTTACAACAGTTTTACGAACTAAAAATACCATGTTGTAGCGCACATAGATAAGAGTTTTAATTCATATGTTTCCACAAGCAAATTAGATTTCTTCCTTTCTTCGAAAACTCGTGAAAATGAACTTAAAACAGCAATGTGAATTATATGTACAATTAAATCATTTCCATTCAGTATGGTAAGTAATAAAATGTTTAACTCGCCATAAGGTCTGCTTTGGTCGAATCAAAGTTAAGTAAAACTTGCAAGCTTGGACTGGAAAATCTCTAAATAGATATTACTAGAATGAAAAGATATACGTATATTTCAAACTTTGAGAGAAGTGTTCATTTTATATATTCCAAACTTTCGAATTTTGCAAACAGAAGAGCTACCATATACAAAGCAACCGAATTTTCTGAAAGCTTAATTAAACAGCCTAGAGGTATTCAAAATATATTCCAAACTTTGAAAACCGGAATAATATAACTTAAGTAGTTTATTTATTCCGTTCTAATTCTCATAGCAACCACAGGATATTTTCCGTCTCCATGATCTCGTCAAATGATATCAAACATATTGTTGCTATATCGTACGTGCTTTTTTTCACAAACACAAACTAGCTGGTATATTTGCGGCAATCCATATCGCATTAATAAAGAGGTATTTTATCAGTAATGTTTACCTTCTCCCCGTACAACCCCAACTTGTCGAGGCGAATTTGCATACAAATTATAATAAATGATTTGTTTTTAGTATTGATACTGAGTTGAATGAAGAAAACGGGGACCTAAATATTTGTAAAATGTATTGAAATTTAGCACGTACAGTATAGCTTAGCAAATGAGCTACTTCGTCATTCAAACGTTCAACCTAGCTATAAGAGACAACCAAGATGAAGATCTTAGTTTCTTAATTGCGTGTCACTCAAATTTCGACATGTTGGAAATACCACCATTGAAAGCAATAAAAGAACAGTGAAGGTGGAAGTTCCTCTATCGAAATATCTCCTTAAAATTTCGATATAGCACGGAGAACCGTTAATCGCTTTTTAGACATTGCGTTCTGACGTGCGTTTTGCGTTAAAACTACTCGAGCGAAACGTGAAAACTTTAGATGGGTGTTCGGGACAAACGTTATTTTGCGTGAAGTCTTGTTAAACAATCGAATTGGAACTTCCCCAGCTGATCAGAAAACCCTCCCTTTTAGAGCTAAGTTTTGAAAATAAAAAATAAAACTAAAAATAAGACTGTGACAAAATAATTATCCACATGCCTAGGATCTGTGAATTTTCGGACCGGTGGAAACTTTTTGTACATCGCGCAAATCACCGCTCGTTCGCTTTGTAGCGTCGTAAATTTTCTTGAAAATGAAATAAGCGTAGTATCGACTTTTGGTTTTGATCGATTCCCGTAATTTTTCGTCGATATCGAATATCCTTACCTCAGATTATCCGCTTAAAACGCTCATGTTCCAGTATTGAGTGTCATAATTTCGCTGTGAAATAATTTACATTACCGTTCAGGTTTATGGTCCTTAATTTTACAGTAAAACATGAGTTAGGATGTGGCTGCGCCTAAAATATTGATGACGGGTCCGTATTTTGTATAAAATGACCTGTGTTATTGTATACTTGAGCGAATCAGCGACCGAGTTTTCGACAGATCTATTGTTTTCAGGCCAGCTGAGTCAACCCCGTGTCGAACTGGATGCTGGGAGGGGAAACTTGCTTCCGTCATTCTAACTTCCTGTGGTGAGGATTTCCATTCAATACTTGTAGTCTCCGCGTGTAACTAAATATTTTCCTACATTTGAATTTTCCCTATTATGAAAGCGGTACAAATCGCCCCATGAAGAGTTAAGAAGTCTAGCTCGTGTTCAACTGATCAACTGAAGGCTGAGATAGTAAAATGGTTGGGGAGTTTTTTTTTCTTTTAATCGAAAAGGCAAGGGAAATTGTTTTACGGAACGCGCGTAGCTTGGGAACAAACACAACAGTTTTTTTCAAAATCTTAATCTTCAGCGGATGTAAGTAAGAATCTTTTTAAAAAGTACGATTGAAAACATACAACAACAAAACATAATTTCAAGTACAAATACAAACTATTTTTCTTGTTGGAATTGAAGAGTTTGTAGCCTAGTTACAGAATTAAATTCAGTCGACTTTCAGCATTACCAATTAAACAGTGGTCTGTCTTGGCAATCGCCTGAGGGCATTTGTACCTTATTGATGACTAAGATTTAAAGAATACAAAAACTCCGCCGTCTTCATATCAAAACAGAAAAGCGTTCATAAAAAACCAAGATTACATAGCTATGAGGTAAACATTTGAAAATCCGTACCTCACTCTCGAGCAAAGACAGCCAAGTTCGCGTCTACAATAAAGTTTGATTTTAGCACGAATTATGGAAATTATTTGCAGAAATCGATCTGCCATATTTGCTGTAAAGTAAAATGATAAAATGTATCGCCGTGTCTCGATTGAATTTGTGACCATTCTAGATCTCGGTAATGCATCTTTTTTGGCTTATTTTGTTTCCACCTTTACAAATTTGTAATGAGACGGTGTTGCATCAGTGAAACAGGAAGCCAAAAAATTGTCTTAACTCTAGACACTTAAGAAAACGTAATGTACTGGATCAAGCCTACACGAAATTCTCGAGAACTCATCGACTTGGAGCAAAATTGTTATCTCGGAAAAATGTTTCCCTTTTGTTTTCTGAAACTCCTATTCTAAGATATTTTCTGTAATTTATCTTTGGGGACTGCACTGCACAAACTATTCTGATTAAGCAAATTAAACGCCTGTTCAAATAAGACAGAATAAAAATTTAAACAAACCACTCTAGGCCTGATAAATAAATTATAGTTTGTACGATGCTATTTTCTCCTTTTTGCCTTAAAATGAATCGATCTTATTCTGAAGAATCTTTGCCACACTTTTTAAAATTATATCTCAAAAGTAGCTGGTATTTTTTAATTTACCTATACATCAGACCAAGGTTTCCATTTATTTCGCAAAAAAATCATTAATTGAATACGCTAGACAAACTTCATTTTGGGACATAGCCTACTTGCTTGTGCTAAAAGCGTTCGGTTTTTCAAGCGTGACACTCGTCACGTTACCACGGGAGTCGTCACGCGTCACGTTCGATGACAGAGACAAAACTTTGCGAAGCCGGATATTTTTGTACCTGGAAGTTAGACTGCCCATCAACCCTTTAGCCGACTGAAACTAAATTTATCTCAATTTCTCGACGTTATAAGGCCTAGATTAAGCCAATCACCAACCCATCCGCCGATTTAAGGCGACTTCTTTCTGATCGTGCGGTTTTAAATCAAAATTCGCGCACAAGTTGTGCCTGATCGCATCTTCCGAATGAATCAATTTTCATATTCAACGTAAACAGTCTAAGCTTTAGAAAATTTCAAAATAGATGGAGGAAGTTCGTAGGTAGAAATCTTTAGATTTACTTTTACCTTATTTCTCGGCTTTGATCACGTCCTAGAGACAAATAAATGGATGAAGTCCATCGTAGGTAACTCTTCTGATCGGATTTCACTGTAAGTCTGGGTCTAGCCTGATTCACGGAAATGACATAATCGTCATATGTCAAGGAAATTATTAACCAGATCTTTGTAGGTCTTAGTAATCCAGGAACACGATACTCAATAAACCTGGGCTTCCTTTTCAAAAAAATATATACACTTCATTCCTGAGCCATTCTTCTCCAATTTTTTCTCAAGAATCTTCCTTGAGCGAAGTGTATTTAACAGTTTCGTCCTCTGAATAAGGCTTGAAGCATTGTCAGGACTGATGACAATGAGATAAGATGATCAGGGTTTATGCTTAAGGAAGGAAACACTTCAAACACTACTGGGGCCGAGATATTTTGGTTAAATAAAAGGTTAACGGTTTTTTAGAAGAATGCCGCCCTGTCCCCTCCTCCCAGTAATGTTAGGTTCGTGCACCCTTTCACAGGGTACGGGTTCCCCCTGTCTTTTATTTTACCCGTGGGACAGACGGCCTGTTTCAGCCCGGGGTGGATTCGAGAGCATTATTGTTGTGGTTCCATAGCCCCCCCTCCCCCTCTTCCCGGAGTGATTTAATTGTCTTCAAATGAATGGTTTAACCTGGAAACGATCAGAAGAAAAACAAAAAAAGAACAAACAAACAAACAAACAAAGAAAAACCTCTCAATTATATTCGCGTTTAGAATGCCTCAAAAGCGGAAGTTTACATTTTATGTAAAGTTTACAGTTTGTCGGCTCAGAGGCCAATAGTCTCCCTATTGGATTCAATAGTTTTCACTCCCAAGTTCTAATTAGTAATTCTCCTTACTCTCTACCATACTATTCTTGTGGTCTTAGTTGGGAGAATTTGATATTGGATCAACCAGAAACCCCTTATCTATATTTTTTTCTTTATTCTTATCACTTGTCTGCTTGATACTATATTGATATTGTAAGGAGAAATTCTGTCTTGATCAGATGAGAGCTGAATTCTGTTTTGATCCCCTAATCGTGCGAGTACGAGTCAAGGATGGATGGGATTTTTAATCTAACGACGAGAAAAAAATTAAAAAAAAAAAACCTGCGTGTGGCTGTTTTAGTAAATGTGCGGAGATTTTACAAGGTGCAGCCGAACGCCTCAGGAAGAACCCCGTCCTGCATTCATCAGCAAGTTTAGCAAGTACGACATTGCCTTTCAGTAATATCTAAAATAGTAGAGGAAACAGCGATTTTTTAAAGACTACGGAGGTTAACGTAGACTTCTGAGAGTAGCTTGCAGTGCGTGTGGCCTGATTCTTGTCTAGAATTCCATAGCGACTATAAAGAATGAAGCGATTAAACTTAACTTTGCGGGTTCAAGTACGCTTTTCAATATTTGACAGGCCATCCCGCACCCGTGCGATGGGGATGACCCGTGATTGACTCGACTCACACATGGCCCACTGGGGCAAAGAGGCCTTTCAGTTTTAGAACTACGACTAACGATGTGACCGCAACCCCGTGAAACTCTTGAAATCCTGATAATTTGTTCTTTTCTCTGATACTGGCAGCTTTTGGATGATCTTTTCCTGGTGCAACCAGTTCAAGTCAAGGTATACTATTCACTTCCGGTGGGCGTCTCCGCCCAAATCACCTTTCGAACCTGTTACACAGATCTATGACCGAAAAAATTCTTTCTAATGCTACATGTTTCCGTTTCAAATTCTCGACAGTTAATCTGGACTGAAGATATAAAAATAGTTGGTTTCACTCGAGAAAGACGACCAAATATGGGTAAAAGTAGAATATTCTTGGAAAAAAGCCTTTTCGATAAGATAGCCTCGCTTTCAATAGGATGTATTCGCAGAGAGACTGGGTTGACTTTAGTTTCGCTGTTTCCTTCCGGCAATCGTAAATCTCGTATCTGCGCGGATTTTGATCCCAAAACAAAGAGTTTCTTGATTCAAAATCCAGCGAAAGAAGGACGAATTCCTTCCTTGTAAAATTATCTTCACCAGCTATCAAAATGGTTTAGTAGCGTGTTCGTTTTAGCGCGCAAAAATGACGTCCAGTACCAAGAAAGGGAAGTCAGCCGTTCTGGAGTTTGGCACACAAACGAAAGGTTGGTGCTATTTTATCAGGCGTTAACTTAAAACAACAGATGAAGGGGCGGTAAATTTTATGAACAGTTGATGTAAAACATAATTTTCGAGAGAAAGACCGCGATATTTGCTGAACCGGTTTCCGGAGATGAGTTAATTTTCCTTGCAATGCAACGTCGATCTTGAGCGCAGACCTGTTGACGTGTTGCGAAGAGCTCCAGCCATTGAATTAGCTGAAGAGGGTCGAGTTATTTCATCACGAGTCGACGGACAGCGAATATTGAGCAACTTTCGACTTATTACTTCGATTCTTTAGGGGAGATTATTTAGTATTTTGCCATTCAAACAAAGACTAGTCGCCAAAAGTCTGCGCTTCCAGAACGCTCTTTATTTTAGATTGTACACGTTTAAAACTTAAAGATAAGTGGTCAAAATGCAATCGGCCAAAGTTGTTTGATCAGTGGTTCAAGTTGTGATCTTCCAACAAGCAAACTCCTTCTGTTTGGGTTAATCAATGTATGTGTTTGGCTTCAAGGAAGCCTTTTGGTCCTCATGAATTTACTCCGCTTTATGACTTTTTAAAGAAGTTAATTTGTCCAGTTCATGTCTTAAATTGTAGCGATGTTAAATTTTCTACAACACGTTTGCGAATGAAATTACCATTTTACTTTAGTGAGATGAATGTTTTTCCTCGTGGTCGTAAACAGAAAAGACCTTGGTTTGAATTTGTCAATTTTAACTTGTTTAGAAGCATTAAATATTTAAATCTCTTCAAATCGGAAACAAATGTGTGAAATCAGTGGGAGCTTGTGTTCAAAATCTTGGAGATTCAGATGTTTGTTCTAGTTTTCAAGAGACCGCAGGCATTCACAAATGACCTTATTAAGTGTTCCTTGGACCTCAATCTTTGAAACTCGTTACTCTGAAAATTTGTCTACTTGTTTCGCTTCTTCTCAATTTGTTGCCTATTAAATGCACTTTCTTAGGGATACAATAATTAGAGTGCTCTTAATTCTACAAGATGTAAGAGTATTTGGATTTCTACAGCCATGCGAACCAGTACAAGCTTATTCCAAGTTTATTGGACACTTTCGAACAACTAAACTCCAGTTATGTAGCAGGTGATGTATTAAACGCGTTCCTGCTTCGCATCTGATGGAATTCACAACCGTTCAGGCGATAAATTTCCTCTTTGAAGCTCATCAAAAATACACAAGTTTGTACTTGGTCACGAAATGCTTGACTGTAGTAAGAAGTGTCTTCGCACCTTCAGCAGCCGTCTTACTGGCCGCATTTTTTTTGTTAAAATATTGCCCTTATAGCCACGTGAGTCGTTTAATCGAATTTGTAATCACATGTTTTTGTTTACGACTTATTATATTTGGTTCTCCGCGATTCTGTTTCTTCCTAAACTTACTTAGTTCATCGATTCCAAATGTTATTTTCTCGAGCTTTATTGTATCAGGTTTAGTTTCAGCTATAATCTTACGTTTGACTAACAGATCAGAAGACACAGTCTTCAAAATGTATCATAATTAGTCCCAAACTGTAAACCGAGACATTTTCTGTTTGATAGAATTATGCTGTGAAAGTACGTTCGTATCACACAATTATGTTCAGTCTCTTTAGTTGTTATTTCCTACCAAAGCAATATTGTTATTTTCATTTGTGAGCGTTGGTGTCCCAATATCCTTTGATTCATTATTTTTGCTAAACATGCTCCAACATGTGCATATATTTATTTAAAAATGCATGTGTTACTGAAATTCAACAACTTCCATCTTTGATTGTGAGAAAAAAATTCTTGAAAGCTCTTAAGGATTACACCACCTTTCATTGTTGTGGAGTCACATCAACCAATCTTCCATCAATTTTGTGTAAAATTGTGTGTTTGTTTTCTATTGTCTTCAACTGAAACCACTTCCTGCCAGACAAAGTTCTTCCTCCATTCTATCAAAAACGTTTTGAAAAAAACAATGTTGGACACTCAGATAATATTCAAACATCATCACTTTTATTTTGTTAAATTTACTGGAATATTTCTTGATGTGATAACATAATGTAGTATTATTTTGTATAAGTTATTGCATGTATGTTAGGAAGTTTTCCTTTTTTTTTTCTTACAATCAAAACATAATATGATCTTAAGACTTCCGTCTCATGTAGGATTTGCCTTTGCAAGATATTAAATTTCTGACTTAAGCTGAAACTTGTGGCAGTGGAACACCTTTTTGATTTTCAAGTATTGCAATTTTCTTGAAATTATGATCACCAGTTGGGATGACTTGAATGCTATTAACTTTCAATGTGCTTGTAAAATTTGTATCTGGAAATTGCTTTGACTTAGGATAGCAGCATTGGACTAAATCTCCTTATGAATTATGGCTGGAAGTACGTCTTTAGGTTTAATACTTTATATTTTTATGTGTAACATTTACGATTTTATGTGAAACATTTTCCAAGTGACAGAGTTAGACACATCTGTTAAAATGTGTGAAAGTGACTATAGTTTTCACATGCTTCTCAAATGCTTTTCACATGCCTTTTGCATGCAAAGTTTCACATGCACATTGAATTTTCATGCAAAAATAATAAGTATGAAAACTGTATCAAAATTGTCTAGATTTTATTATCACTGGTGTGTTCAGGATTTCATATACAGAGCTACTCTAGATAGTTGATATCTATAATGTAGCAATCCAACCATATTTCAATCATAGTGGTGAGATCTGGGTCACCCTCCAAAAAGGCCACTCTGGCAGGTTACATAAGTTGCAAAATAGGTCTGTTAGACGCATATAATTACATATGAGGAATGATGCTCATGCATCAAAGGTCCTCAGTGCCTTAGGCTAGGAAACTTAGATATTCAACGAGCAAGGTCCAAAGATAAAAAAAATGTCAAAAGTGCATAATGCTATGGCTTCAAGTTGTCTGCTTGATTTATTCTTAACAATACAACACAATCTTTGAGGTTTCTTAACCTTCTTTCAGTTTTCTTTTTTTTTTAGCAGGGGGAGTATTTAAGTGTTTTGATTGTTTCTTATGAATTGTTACACAAATTAATACTTAACAAATTAAAAAAAAATGAAGGAAAAAAAATTATAAAAAAAAGTTCCAGAATGCATGGTACAAAGTAGTTCTACGCAGCTACACTAAAAGATAACTACAATACTACTATAATAGTAATATGTTAAATTATGAGTATCATAATAAGCAAAACCATAGCAAAATTCTCAAACATGATTGGTCATCACTAGCCAGATTTGAGCAGTCATAGGACAGTGTATGGGTCATGCTTATAATTGGACAGTGTATGTTAATGACAGTTGTGCCTGCATGTCTTTGTGGAAAGTACAGGTCATGTGCTCATGCTATTGTCATGTACTGCACTGAGTTACACTGAGCTGTAACTGTTGTTGTTTTTCTTTTTATGAAAAGGTATAGTAACCGATTGACGTCCAGGGCGCCCAAATTGTGGACCCACACCCTTTCTACGCCTTGTGACGTCATCACTTTAAACCCTGGAGCACGACTTTGAGCATCTACTTGAACAGGTTGAAAATATCTTACAAACGATACCAGAATGAGCGCAATTGAGTGAAGGAGATTGGAGAAATAGCCACAAAAACATGTAACTTTGACCTGAAAATCTGCACAAAAATCTTGTTCCATTACCCACCTACCTTTCTGAACATGTGGTTTGAAAATAATAAGTAGTTTCCTAAAACATCTCTATACTAAAATGAAGCCTACTAAGTATGAGACCCTCCACAGGATTTCCAGCATAATGGTGATAACGCGGGCACGTGTGCGATGACACGCCACACTAAGCGTGATATGTGACATGCATATGCGCATTTATTAACAAGGAAACAAAGAGTGTCACGGTAGCTTTTGTTTTTCACGTCTTAACACGCTCAATCTTTTATTTTCAACAGCGTGTTAAATGACACGCTTTGTAGCTTGTTAAAGTTGTGTGATATGGCACAGTAGCAGGGAAAGAGTTGTTAGGCTGCCGAAGAGGCCAGAAAGCCTTTAGTTTTAGAAGTTGCTCCGCACATTGAAAGAATGGTAGCGAAAAAGACAGCTTAAGTAAAAAGTTCTTCCTAGCACAAATGCTTTCACCGTACACTGACTTCAAGCAAAAAGACAGCCTATGTAAAAAGTTCTTCCTAGCCAACTGCTTTCACCATACGCTGACTTCAAGCAAAAAGACGGCTTATGTAAAAAGTTCTTCTTAAGAGAAATAATGCTTTCACCATGCGGACTTCAAGCAGGGCCTAGCAACAGTTTGACGATTCAATGGCCCGCTAAATATTATGTTCGAGCAACAATGTGTTCAAAAAGTGTTTAATAGAGGATTTTGTGTCAAATCAAAGTTTTTCAGAATTTTCAATGTAACGCTGCGCAATTTCTGGCCATGAAGGCAAGTAAGCAACGATCTAAGCATGATGAATTTTACCGCGTGGGCTTTGTACACGTAAGAAATTCGTACGTTTTTCGCTTATAACAGTAATTAAAAAAACTGTTTTGAATAAATCTGTTGTCCCGAAATATTTCTTGGCCATTTTAGTCTTGCTTCCTTATTAATTGATTCCATGGAACTTGAGATCTCTTCACTCGCGGATAAATTTGCGTATTCCCGTTTGAAATGTGATCCACAGGCTCATTTGCACGCATGTGAAAATATTTAGCGATTTTTATCTTTTATCTTGATTTTTGAGAGAAAACGAAATATGCACCTATCGCTTTTTTCGACGAAAATAAGTTCTTTAATTAGTCTTCTTTCACTGGAGCTTGTTTTTGGGAAAAGATGATTTTTAAAAATTTACTGCACATTCTGTTTGCTTTCTTGGTTTCTCCAAAATTTTGACTTTTCGTAGGCACGTGTTACATGTAAGTGTCAATGGGTTAAACTTGATCTTGCTATAAATTTCTGCGTTTTGTGAAAAGAAAAATGGGTTTCATGTGACAAATTGTGATTCATTGGAAGATAACAGATGAAGTTTACAACATGAGTCAGTGATTGGATGATGAAAATAAGTTACGAATGCAGTATCGCAGTGGTCAGTGGTTCGAATCCCGTACAGGCCTGATTTTTTTCAGGTCTGATTTTCGCTATAATTGCATAAATGGCGCTCTGTACTGCGAGGATCGTGCATCATACGTAATGCAGGTTTTGCTTTAATGGAGATAGTATCATTTTTCGCACGTGCAATCTCTTACAGATGTTTTGATCTGACATTGGTATTATTTAACACGCGTGATATTTCGCACAGCAGAGTACAATATGAAACGGCATAACACGGCTTTTGTTTTGGCACCCTTTAACACGCTTCTTTGTTTAACCTGAACATGGTTCATTGTTTATATGGAACAAAAGAAAATTTTAATCAGGAGTGCATTATTACACGCTGCTACTGTGTTAACGAAAATTTCTTTTGTGTACCGTGCTAAAAAAGTGTGCCTGTGTCATCACCATTATGCTGGAAATCCTGTGGAGGGTCACAAATTTCCAGCAAGTGAGGAGAAACTTCAGGAAAGGAGAGGGGAAAAAAGGGCAGGAGAAAGAGAGAAAAGTAAAAGTCGTAAGTGGGGCATTACTTTTCAACCCAAAAATCTCGCAATTTTGCTTTCTGCGCTTGCCCGAGAGTTTCAGGCTGCCATTTTGCATTTGGATTGAAAGGCCGTCAGGTGTACAAGCTGTCAATGGGTTTTTGATAAGTTTGAGCTTTTAAAACCATAACAGTGACCCGAAATCTGCTCGACTAGCTTCAAAACACAGTTTTTCACAAAAGCTGCAGCCATTAATGGGTTAACTGATGTGTAGTTTCTTTCTTGAATTTTGCCATAGTTTTGATTAATTGATAACAGGACCTTCTGTTGTCCAGTTCTGTCTGCAATCATACTCTTTTCAACAGTCGTCCCAGAGGTTTTATAGGGGAATTTTTGTTGGGTTGTCTGTTTCTTAGTAACCAGGCATTTTCAAGTACTTTGTGGCATGTTTTCTGGATGCTTTAGCAGATAAGCCACAACCCTGATGTGGTGTAAAAAGTTTGGAATTTGTGCCAGTGTTTGCAGTATATGTCTAGTTCAGATAGATTTATATAATTATTAATCTGACCTATGGCTCAGGGGTTAACCGAGATGTTTATGTTATCTTTTGACAGAGGTGCGCCAGATTCTTATTGAGCAGCTGAAATGCTTTGATAACAGAACAGAGGGAAAGCTGCTTTTTCTGGCTGATATGCAGGAGTTTTTCCGAAGGCTGTCTGAAATTGAGATGGAATATTCCCGAAACCTAGAAAGGCTTTCAAAGATGTATCTCGACAAACTTCATAGGCATAGAACTCAAAGGTGACAAAGTAATTCAATTTTTACCCAAATGTGAAAGACGAATTGATTTACTGATTTATTCAGTTACAACTGGCACATTGTTTGCGTGAGAAAATCTGGTCTCTTGTGGAAAACTGATGCTAAACTTACAGCCACAACTTTTAGTGAGGCTAATTTGAAAAGGCAAAATTTCCTCATTTAAATTGAGCTTTTTAAGAACTCAAGACTGTTGGTTACTGATTTCCATTAGATTTGGTGGTTTGAAAAATAATCAGGGTAGCTCTGAAAAGAATTGTTGAAACAAAAAAAAAAAACACTCTCTTTTTTTCTAATTGTCTCTCTCAATGTCTGCATTAATGAAGTCATTAAGTTCACCAAGTCATTGTCCCTGTTCCATTGTGATTGACTAGCAGAGTGAGTGGTGTATTGATCTGCTCATTCATTGTTTAACTTGTGTCGCTAGGAAAGAAAAGGGGACCACCATGGATTTATGGCAGCAAGTCCTTATTGAAACAAAGAACAAATCTAAGATGCATCAGGGTCTCAGTGAAAATGTCTCTAGTAACATTGTTAATAGATTTATGATCATAAGTGACGACTGTCAAAGAATATCCAAGCAGGTAAGAGTTATACTTTAACTTTTAAACTACTAAGAGTGACCAACATCTTATTTCTCCTTACAATACCACTCCTGAATTTCACATCAAGTTCACGAGAATAAACAAAATGATCACCAACCAAGGACATGGAAGCTCTTGATTGTTTAATAAATTCTCCTTATTTATTACACTTTTGGGAAATGTATAGAGAACAGAATGGGGAATGTGTGTATACTGTTGTTAGGTTGTTAGGGAGGCACAGTGGCCTCATGGCTAGTGCACAAGACTCTGGATCAAGTGGTCCAGGTTTGAGCCCTGGCTATAAGGATGTTGTGATGTGTTCTTATAGGCAAGACGCTCTCACAGTGCCTCTCTTCACC